CGTGAGGTCACTGACTCGGCGGCCTGAGCTTCAGCCACCAGAGCATGGTCCTGGCCCTCACTCTGCAGAGCAGTAGCCCCCTGCCACCACCCGGAGGCAGGACTCCCTCTCCTACACACTGCATGGGGACCTTCTCCAAAGCAAAGGTCCCTGAGCCACGACCTTCTCCTGGTGTCACTTCTGCCTGCAGCGCCCGCACACCCTCCTTAGCAACCACAATGGCCCCACCAGGCCTGCAATGGAAGGCTTGCATCTAGGGAGCCCTGCTCCACAGACAGGTGCGACCCCAGCCCCTCCTGCCCTCACCAGCCCTGGGAAGCCAGCCCGGCCTGTGGCCAAAGCCCTTCGCCACAGGGCACCTGACAGCAAGGCACGAAATTACAAAAGCCAGCCTTGCCATTCAGAGCTTGGCTATGCACTTGCACGTGTATGTTGGGGTAGCGGGGCGGGTGGGAGCGGGGTGGAGGAGAGTTCGCAAGAGGCCAAATGGGGAACATGTACCCTGCTAAGTCCCACCAGGCCCTGGGAACCTACCCCACGGCCCACGCAGTGGGGGCCTGAGGGGATGACCTCAGTGGGAGCTATGCTCCCTGCAGGGCCCGTGAGCCTCCCAGCAGCTGCCCAGTGGGCAGAGAGGGTGCCATGGAATTCCTGAGCTGGGCACTGGGCACCAAGCCTGGCTGGTCACCTAGCAACGGGGCCAGGCAGCTGAGCCATCCCTGTGGTTGGTTCCCAGAGAAACGCTTTGGGTATCCCAGGCTGACCGCTCATGGCCCAGTGGGAAGAGCAGGAAGAGGGAGACTGGGATGAAGCCAGGGATGCGCAGGAGGGCTTGGAGGCTGGGGGAGTGAGCAGCTGGAGGGGCCGCCAAGCCAGCTCGCCCCCAACACCCAATCGAGACTGTCCACAGCCTCCTCTCGGCAGCCCCCATGCCTGCCCCACCTGCAGCAGGGAAAGCCCTTGTCCTGGCAGTCACACGTCCCCTCCAAGCTCCAGCCACACTCAAGAGGCACAGACCCTCATCCAACCCCACCTACCCCCTGCAGCCGACCCCTCCCACACTGTGCCGCTGCTGCCCAGCTCTGCACAGGGTAGCAGCCTCATCTGTCTGTGGGTGAGGCCGGGCCCAGGAGGGAGGAGGGGACCCCAGCCCAGGGAGGAAGCGGCCAGTAAGTCCAGCATGGCAGAGGCGGGGAGGCTTCCATGTAAGTCTGCCCCATCTCCTGCCTGGATCTGCCCGTCTGCCAGAGGAGTGAAGCAGCCCATGTCTTCACCAACTGGGTGTTGTCCACCCTCTCAGGCCCTGGGCCAGCCCCGAGGAGCAAGCATACCGGGCAGTCAGCATGGAGGGCTGGGTGGAGGGAAGCCCAGAGGCGTGGGAGCCAGGGTTAGGTCCCTGGCCCCACTTTCCAGGAGGTGACGGGTGGCAGTGGGAGTAGGTCGGGGGAGGGCATGGGTCCCAAGGGGAAGGTTGCCCTGGGTGAGCTGGAGGGGTGGGCGCTGGGTCGCGGTCCTCAAGGCAGCGCCACCCACAGCCGGCCTACCTGTGCGAGGAGCTTGTCACCCTCCAGCAGCCTCACTTTGCTCTCCAGTTGCCTGATGTAGGTGGATGAGGGATCTGGAAGGACACAAGAGGAAGGGGGACATCAGCCTCCAGCAGACTCCGTCCCCAGTGCAACCACAATGGCCCCACGAGGCCTGCAATGGAAGGCTTGCGTCTAGGGAGCCCTGCTCCACAGACAGGTGAGACCCCAGCCCCTCCTGCCCTCACCAGCCCTGGGAAGCCAGCATGGCCTGTGGCCAAAGCCCTTCGCCACAGGGCACCTGACAGCAAGGCATGAAATTACAAAAGCCAACTGGCCTCACGCCTGGCATGGAAGGTTTGGGTCTGAGGAGTCCCACCCCACAGCCAGGTGAGACCCCAGCACCCCCTGCCCTCATCCGCCCTCCGGAAACAGCATGGCCTGTGGCCAAAGCCTTCCCGCCATAGAGCACCTGACACCAAAGCATGACACACAGAGGCCAGCCTTGCAGGACCCACCCGCCACCCTCACTGTGGGCCTCTGAGCTGTTGTCAGGACCTTCAGGACCTGTGGAAAGGTGAGGGGCGGGTGGCCTCGCTAGCCTGCGCTGGAGCAATTCTTTCAGCTCCCAAGATGCTGCAGGCTCAAACGGAGCTCTCCTAAACACAGCCAGGTCACAGCCCACCCCAGGGTTGGGGTCCGGGGAGCCCCCTCCCCTACACAGTGGGGAAACAGCCTCCTGAACTTGCCAAGTCAGCATCTGGGATCCTTCACCTGATCACCCAGGAACTTCTCACAGGAGATGCATGCCTGCAGCATATGCTGCAGGTGAGCAGCCACCTTCCCCATACGACAGTCAGGAACCCCGTGGAACCCCCCGGTCACGTGTCCCCAGTTTCTGACCTCAGGCTAAGGGAGCCCAATCTGTGCAGACCACTGGTGCAGGTGAAATTCACCCACCCTCACCACTGACCCTGCTTTCCAGTCACGTCAGGAAAACACAAAAATATCCCATCCCCACCCCCACACCCAACCATCCCACACCCCTGGTCCTGCCTCCCCCCAGGCTGGGAGTCAGCTCAGCCCCCAGGATGCCCGGAGCAAACCCTCAGGGCAGAGGGCTGGGGGAAGGGAGGAGAGGCAGGAACGGGATGGAGGCAGAACACCGGCCGGGTCACCCAGCGACAGCAGGTTTGGAAAAGAGGCAAGGGGGTGGCAAGGCTGTCCCAAGCACCCCTGTGGGCCACGAAGCCACCTGGTAAGGGATGGGCTATTAACACCTCTCCCCGGAGATCACCTGGCCCAGATAGATGCCAGCCCAGATGCCATCCACCCCGACGGCTGTCCACCCACCGGCCCACCCGACAGCAGGACGCAGGGTCTTCCCAGGTTCATGCCGCTGACCCTCGACTGCAGAAGCAGAGACATGAGCCCCTTTGACCACACACAGCCAGCTGTCTAGTCCCCATCACCACCTCAGGGCTGGGATGGACTCTACAGGCTGTTAACATGCCTGGGGGTGCCGGGGCTTGGGTGCAGCTGGGGACAAGCCAGGACCGCCATGCCAACCACACGACCAATGAAGCATCTGTCCACCCCCAGCACGCCAGTAACAGGATGCCTGGGAGCCCCCTACTCAGCCCTGGACCAGGCCCAGGGCCCAGCAGAGCCACTGGCCCAGCCACAGGCAGGAGCAGGTACTGGAGCCCCGCCCGGACACACTCACTGCTGGGGAACACTGCAAACCAGCCTCCCCTCCTCCTGCAGCCCAGTCACCTCCCAGGAATGTGGGGCCTTCTAGAGAGGAGAGAAGGGCGGCTCCCCATCCAGGCCCAGCCTCCCCGCCCTGCCAGGCAGGCCACCCCTGCCCTCAGGATGACCTCAGGCCCTCACACCTCACCAGCCCTGATCCCTCCCTCCCTGGCTTCAGTTTACTCATCACTCTGTCAATCCTGAAAAGCAGCTCCCATGCCCACCCCAAGCAAAGAGGTGTGATGGCAAGAGGCCTCAGCATTCAGGCTGTGCTGCGTCCCTCTGAGCACGGAAAGATGGGGTGCAGTCTAGGCTCCCCAAACCTTCATGTCCTATACCCCACTAACAGGAGGGCTCCCTGGAACACAGTCCCGGGAAGCAGTGACCAAGTAAACTGCAGAGACCCTTCCAGCTCCCTCACTCTGACAGAGCTAGGACAAGAACGCTCCAATGACTATAGACCCACGTGTGGTCTCCTTCTGGGTGCAGTCGGGTGGGGGGAGCCCACTGTCCCATATGGGACACGTGGTGCCCCCTGCATCTGGTGCCTTGCAAAGGACAAGCAGCCACCATCCTCATTTTCCAGGTGCAGAGGCCACGAGGAACAAAGTGTTCCCACCAGCAGCAGGTGAGCCTTCCAGCCCCTCTCCCCACCACCCAGGCCCACCCCACAGGTCAGTCTTTGGGACCCAGTGTTTCTGGCCGCCTTGGGCAGAGCTGACAGCCTCAGCCTTGGAAAGAAGCTGGCAGAGACTCAGAAAGAAGACGCCATTCCCAGTCACACCGCTCTCCCGAAGGCTCTCTGCAGTGCAATCCTCAGCACAGCCACAGGGCCCCTGCTCACCAGAGCACCCCCATGGGACAGTGCTCCTGGGGGCAGCCCTGAGCCAGAGGGAGGACCCAGCCACTGTGTGTGACCAACAGCCCAAGACGGGCACTAACTTGTCCTCTGCCCTTCACTGCCACAGAACCATTCAGGAGGTGGGTGCACTTTCAGTCGCCCGCCTCCCGCTGCTGGTTCCCATAGGGTGAGCAAGGAGCTAGCTCCCCGCACTTCCCTCTCGGTGAGCCCACAATCGGAGGAGGAGTGGGCTGAAATCCGAGTCCGCAGCTGCCCCGTCAGCCTCAGCACCCTCACTGAGTGCCCCTGCTCCAGTCTGAGCAGTCAGCCCCCTCAGATACAACTGGGGTTTCACACCCACCTCCCAGGAAAGGTTAAAGACGGTGATCAGGCTGGCAGGTGGCATCAGGAGAAGGGACGCAGACAGGCCATCCCACAGGTCACCAGCAACGCCCTGCCTGCCCATAGCCAGCACCTCACCTCAGGGCCCACAGGCCACCGTCCCCCACATTGGGCAACCTGTAGGCACAGACAGGTGGCCACACGCCCATGGCCCCAGACCAAGGGGCTGCCCCTGACAAACCCATCTGTTCAGGTTTCCCCCAAACCCCAGGCAAGTATGCAGAACAACATACACTGCAGACCGCCGGGCTTTGTTGGGTTTTTCTTTTAAATTTCAAAATAACAATATAACAGTCTTAAAACAGATTTTAGACCATCCAGTAATTCCAATGGAATCTATCCTAAAGAATTAATTCCAGGCTGGGTGTGGTGGCTCATGCCTGTAATCCCAGCACTTTGGGAGGCTGAGGCAGGTGGATCACCTGAGGTCAGGAGTTCAAGACCAGCTTGACCAACATGGTGAAACCCCCGTCTCTAATAAAAATATAAAATTGGCTGGGCATGACAGCAGGCGCCTGTAATCCCAGCTACAAAGGAGGCTGAGGCAGGAGAATCACTTGAACCCGGGAGGCAGAGGTTGCAGTGAGCTGAGATCGCACAACTGCACTCCAGCCTGGGTGACAGAGCGAGACTCCATCTCAAAAAAAATTAATTCTAATTATGAAGAAAGCAGACTGTTAGAGTGGCCAAAACTGGAAATAACTATTTGTCCAACAACAGCTGAGGGTTCTACCCTGTCATCATTACAATGATGTTTAGAAAGAGTTTGTCTCCTAAACAATATGGAAAAACACTTAAAATGCCAGTGGAAAGAACTGGACACAAAATGACATGCACAACGGCTGCGACGTTTAAAAATATCCACGCGTTGACGTGAGTTCAGGAAGGAAGTCCACAGAAATCCTGACTGTGCGGCTGCTCAGTTGAGGGAAGCAGTGGGTTTTTATTTATTCACATCGTTCTTGTTAATTTTCAAATAATCGACTTCTAATCTAGTTCTGAAATCCTTCTTTCAGAAAAAAAGAATGGCCAGGTGCGGTGGCTCATGCCTGTAATCCCAGCACTTTGGGAGGCCGAGGCAGGCAGATCACCTGAGGTCAGGAGTTCAAAACCAGCCTGGCCAACATGGTGAAACCCCGTCTCTACTAAAAATATAAAAATTATCTGAGAATGGTGGTGGGCACCTGTAATGTCAGCTACTCGGAGGTTGAAGCAGGAGAATTGCTTGAACCCAGGAAGCAGAGGTTGCAGTGAGCCAACAGCGCCACTATACTCCAGATGGGCGACAGAGCGAGACTCTGTCTTTAAAAAAAAAAAACAAAAAGGAGAACAGATTAAACTCTTGCACCTCAACATTACATGCATGGCCACCCACTGAAGCACCTGACATTTTAAACCCAGCACCCTGACCCTCTCCCACACTCAGCTCCCTGGAAGAGCTCTCCAGGCTGCCAGGAGCCAGTGAGCCAGGCATCAGTCACCCTTGGGTCAGGAGTAGGCACTCTGCAGACAGGAAGAACAAGAGTGATCCGGGCACTCCCAGTGGGGGCTGGAGAGCAGAAGACCCCGGCAAGGGCCGGCTCCTGCGGAGGACTATCCTTCCCGGCAGCCTCAAAACTCGTGATCCCACTGCGTGCCAAGCCCCAGCCTCTTGGAGATGAGCATGTAATTAAATTAATCCCAGGGTTTACAGTAATGAGCGCTGGAGCCACAGGGGAGGGGACATCACTTCCCAGCTTGGCTGCCTGAGGGCAAAATGAGGGAGGTGACCCTGGGCTGACCTGGCCAAGGGGTCCCCTTGGGTGCTCCCCTAACCCTTCTAGGGGCCATTGGACCAATTCTGGGGGATTCCCTATCCAGCTGCCAACCGGGGAGGAGGGTGTCTCTCTACAATGTTCTTGTGTCCAGGAGCCAGACCTGAGCCCTCCTCACCCCACTCTCTTCCTGGATCCCTTGCTCCCATGAGGAGGAGGTGGGGGGAAGCTGTGCAGCACGGTAGGCGGGAGTCACACAGCCTGCAGGTCTGCCAAGCCCTCCCCACTGGCGCTGTGCTGGCTCCATCCCAGGCACCCTGCGCTGGGTCCTGCCACTAGGACCAGG